GGGATATTTTTAATCATTAAAGTGGTCCTAGTATCTTCTCCACTCATAATTTTATCCAAATCAAGCTGATACTGCTTCTTGTTATCAATCTGGTTTCCATTATTTTCAACTCGCCGGCTTCGACTGCGGTCAGCCAAACCTTCATTTCCAGCAGTTCCTTGTCCAGGATAAGAACCATTCCCAAGGAAAATAGGACCATGCCTTGGCATTGACATCATTCTAAAACTAGGTGAACCATTTTCAGTTACACTTCCTGGGAGACCAACACCAGCACCCATAGTTCCACGAGCACCAATATTCATCAATAAACTTCCATTGCTACGATTTAAACCCACACCAGCAAAGGAAACAGGACTCATAAAGGATGTTTCAGGCGACTCAGGGAGGTAGCTAAAATGCCTATCAAGATGCACACCGGAGGGAGCAGATCCCACATGATGGTGGTTACTTGAACCAAGAAAGGAGCTGTGTCTACTTGTGAATGGAAAACCCTGTCCACTTGGCCAAGCAGAACTAGCTTGCTCAGAGTAAGGAGTGGGACTTCCCCAAAGAAACTGAGGACCAGTCAATGTTCCAACACCGGCTGAACTTGAATTAGATTCACCAAAGGCAGAGACTGGTCCAGGACTTGCACTCAGGTTCTGCTCAGGGAAGGATCGAGAATGCTGGTAGGCCACTCCTTGTACTGCTCCAGTATTAGTAAATATCTGGTTTGTAAGGTTGGTCTTCGCTTGGTCCTTACCAATAGGTGCAATCTTTGGAGAATTAGGCACATGATGTGGGAGAATTGAAGCTAGCCCGGGCAAATTATTGTTATTTACAGGACTGAAAGATCCCAAACCTGGAGACTTACTAAAAGCATGCAAAGGATTGTGTTCAACAGGACTGCCAAATTGTGCCCAGTTACCTGTCACAGCAATGCTTACTTCAGCAAATAATAGAAAATGAATTTTCAAACTGATGCAGGAAAATGAACTGATTGCATTGAGCACAACATTGCTGAGTACACATAAATTGAAGAGCATCTAGGATATTTACCTGGAGGAGAGTTCCCAACTGGAGAACCTACATGATGTCGAAAACTTCGAGCTTCATCTTGTTCCAGCTCCTGACTTAGCTGCTGCATCAAGCTAACAAAGAAGGGATGTCAATTTTAATTTCTTTATACCAGGTTTCTTAATTAAAAACAAAACAAATCAAGAGAAATAGATTAATATGATCTGTGAAAAAAATAATTATCATGATTTCTGCCTAAACACCATTGTGACATGTAAAAAAATGCCTAGCAACCGTGAGGTAGGGTTAAACGGTAGCAGAGTTCCTTTTTGGACGGACAGTCAAAGATATCAAGCTTGAAAATTTGCAAATATGCAAAAATGTTTCAAACACCTGAGAAAACAGGTGTAGAAAGTAATGTGAAGCATAGAGAGTGTTTACGTGACATTTGGTTAGCTCAAATAAGAAAAATCAATTTGGCATGTTCCACGGTTGCCAGAAGTATTAAGCATTCTAAGGAAGAGCATTTGCAAAAGTATTTGAGGAGAGCCACAGCAATGGTACTGCCCCGTTCTCCATATTTGTTCAAGAATCAATGATTCCTGCTCACAGTTAATAATATACAATACTTCTACTTATTCTGCATTTCAATTTTTCTAACTTAAAACTCAGAAGGGAATAGTGATTTAAGGTAGAAAATTGGCTAAATGACTACATAGTTACTAAGATCAAAAGTTTCACCGCATTCGTTGACAAGGAGATATACAAGGGAGGAAAAAGCAAGCCTAGTAGATTGACTTCTGTAGAAAACATCAGAAACTTGGGAGTCTAGCTTTCCATCTTTTTTCAATATTTCTCCCAACTTCAGAAGGATAAAATAACCAACTAAGATAAAAGAAGAAAAAAAGGCTTTCAACCCTGTTCCCTTTTATGGTTTTGTTAACTAAACAGAAAGATGGTATCTTCTCTCCTAACTCCTATATGTTCATGTTCATTCCAATTATCTGCCCCAGAAGAGAGAAACAACCTACTAGCATTAATGGCTCATATTAAGCACTTATGAAATTATATTCTGCTAAAGATCATTTTGAAGAAATACTTAAAAAAATCAGAAGATACAGCATTCCACAACTTATAGTTTTGAAAGAAGCTATAGAATCAACATTCATTATGATTCATAGACATGGCAAGAGTGCTGTTCTTCCAAGAAAAAGATTTTAGACGGATCAAAACTACAGAATGCTCTGCAAGAAATATTTTATGAAACGTGTGTGAAATCAAAAGCGGTAAAAGAAATCCTCTCATAGATCAATTAACTTCCTTTATGTGATCTGAGAATATTTTTCCATCTCTGGTTTATTGCAACAACCTAACAAACAAGACCCTGTACCAACATCAAACACAAAGAAGATAAAATTAATTCTTACTTTCGACGAGCCCCACCAGGGCGGCTAGGTTCAAGCTTTATGCGTTTCCCAGCTATGTCACTCCTATTCAATGCTCTAAGAGCAGCCTCTGCAGCTCTAACATCATAAAATTCTATGAACTTATGGTGTCGCTTGTGTGGTGTTTCCCTGATCTGCGTTTTTCACAACCAAAAATGTAATCAGTAAATGCCGCAGACATGTCAAAATGGCGATTGCAAGCAGTAGACGAACAATTATGCAAAACTAATACCTCTTTCACCTCCCCATAAGCCCCAAAAATTTGGCGAAGGTCATCATTTGATACTGATGGATCCAAATTGAATACTACAAGAGTTCCCTGATTTACATCTTTCTCTGATGGGTTATCCTGTTGTATTACAAGAGAAAAAATGCTTCTAAACTTGTTGATAGATCAACAACGTCCAACACAAACATAAAGCAAAATACACTACTCCAAACCTTGGGGATTGAGAAATGAATGTCTAGTTTTCTTCGCCTTAGTGGCTTATTTTGTAATGCACGCATTGCAGTGCGTGCAGCTCGAATATCATAATATGAAATCATTACAAAACCCCTATGCTTGCATGCAGTGTACAAAGTTCTGATATCTCCATATTGCTGCAAGAAGAGTAGGAATTTCCAGATAATAAGTATTAGCCTGGTATAATGAAGATGAAAACCATTCTATACACATAAATAAAGGGAAAAAAAGGAAACAGTACTTGGTCAAGTAATCAAGTAATAAAATGGTTATCAGCAGAGAGATCATATAAGCCAAAATACTAGCTAATATAAGAAAGATACAGACTAATATAGAATACCTCAAAGAGAGATCTCAATTCAGAGTCTTCAACATTACTATTGATATTTCGTACAAACAATGTTCTTGAAGGGTGCTCGCCATATGGATGTTCCCCAGCCATTGTTCCCACACCATTTGGAAGAGGGTAATGACCAATCCCATTTGCAGGAACCCCATCAGATAGGTTCACCGTCGATATACCAATATTAAGGCTCTCTTGAGGATCAAAATCTAATTCCATTCCCCCTCCAGTACCGAAGACATCATATTCTTCCAAGTCTTCCAACTGACTAGGCAAGCCACTTAAATCGAAGTCATCTGTTATGCCAGCAAGGAGCTCATCTTCATCATCAGGAAGTAAATTTCCAATGGCATTTGTTTCAGCACCTTCGAGCGGGTCCTTTCCTTCATTTTCAAGCTCTAGCTTATGTAAATTAGGTGAGTTATCATCAACAGAATGACCTGAATGCTCCACATCAGCAAAGTTCACTGCATTTTAGCAAAAGAAAACCTCAGTCCTATTCTACATATGGCAACATATACAACATTGTCACATCAACAATTGACACATACATTTTTCATGAGGAAGGACAGGCAATGAGCTAGAAAACAAGCTTGCATCACTTGATGAATGATATGTGTCAGTTCCACGTGGGATTCCCCATGCACCAGTTTCCCATTTCCTAGAGATGTTGACTGAAGGAATATTAGATGGACCTATAATACAAGTAAGAATCACTGATCAAGATCTGGCAACAATATATAAGCAAAGATGAATAAGATCATATGCATTTGTAACCTAGATTAAACCAGATGGTGAAAGAAGCAATACCTTCAGATTTTCTTGATATCAGACCTTTTGACTGTTGCTCCATTCAATCACTTTCTGTAGACAAAGAATTTCACATATTAACTATCAAAATATTGTAATGAGGACAAATTCAGCATTTGACACAGTGATTATGCAGAAACCCAGGAATAGCATGGCAAATCAGAAAGAATTCACTAAATTAACAAGTTCATAACGAATTCCAATACAAACATCAGTTCCTAAAGAGCAACACAAGTAACTGACAGTCCCCATAATGTCCAAAAGCTGAAACACATGAAATTTATGATTCCAGTTTAATAATCATTTTCGTTCCATTAAACCACAACAGTTCCATCACAACTTGATCACACAACTTTTATCGTAAATTCTGGTTACTAGAATTCACTTTCGAGCAAGCCAATCATGCAATGATTCTCTATAGATAACAAAAACACAAATAAAGCAAGCAAATGGTCAAGATCAGACAGAAAATGAAAAGGGAATCTACAGGGCAAGCTCTAAAGAGCCGATAATTATGATCAAAAACAGTAGCAGTAAAATATTGCATCAATAAGTCAACACCCAAAAAAAATGAAATGCGATAATTGTGCGAAAGAAAATATAAATTTGCACTTCAATAAAAAAAAATTATCGAAACACAACAGCTCAACAAGAACTTCACTTAGTAACAAGTCAACAACTTTCTTAGCTCAGAAACAAAACCAAGCCCTTTTCAGTAGTTTCCCAGAAATATTTCTCTCAACATCACTCACTATTTTTTTATTTTGCACTAGTAAATTATTGATATTTAACCAAAAAAATAAAATAAATAAATAAATAGACAGTTACCCACCAAAGAAAAAGATATTACCAGGGAAGATATAAATAGGAAAGTATGAAAAAAAATCAAAGCAGAAATACCTTTCAGAAGAAAATGGTATGTAAGAAAGTAGTTAAAGAGGGTCCATTGAAGAAGTAAACTGGACTGGGCTGATTCCAAATAGAGTTTTTGTCTTTGATCACCCAAAATTATATATACAAAAACGGAAGGGAAAGAGAAAGTGAAAGAAAGAGAGAGAGTTTCGTAGAAGCAGAGATATTTCTTTCTTATACTCTTCCACTTCCTCCTCTCTCGCCGGGAAACTAGAAAAAAAAAAAAAAACCTAAACAAAGAACATTAAAAAAACAAAAACCCAAAACAGAAAAAGGAAAACAAAAAGTACCACTCCATATTAAAGAGAAAGTGAGAGAACATTTATTAGATCGACAAAGAAGGAAATGATTGGAGGGAAAGAAAAATATAATTGAAAAAGAAAAAACAAAGTTTTCTCAGTTACTCTGTTTTTGTCTTAAAAAAACGTAATAAAAGATTCTGCTGAATTTGAATTTTGTTTGGCGTCCGTTGACACATAGCCCACACAAGACACAACACAACTACTAAGTGTAAAAAATAATAAATAAAAAAAGAGGATAATTATGTTATTGTGTTTACCCTTTATATTCCGTTTTATTACGACTTTGCCGTGATTCCGTCTGACGATGTGGCGTGGAATTATTCGTTCAAGGATCGTTGTTGTAATGGTGTTCCAAAGTAATTCTCATAGAATCCAATCAGAATGCTCCATGACATCAAGCCGCTGGTTCCAGATACACGTGGAGATGTATCAGTGGTGGGATTTTACATTAGGAGTTGGGTGCTTGGGTGGGGGGTGAATACAGGTGATTAATTGTGTTTTTGTTACTTACGTTGGTGGCGGGGACCAATGACGTGGTGTTGCGTCGGAAAACGTGATTGGATTGAGCTGCTCTCTGGTGGGATACTTTTGAGCATGATGTAGTCTAATGAAATGATGCCACGTGCGCACAGTTCAAACGGGACCTACTCAGTTGTGGGGGGGCACTTTAAGATTTTACCTTTCCAAGACCCAAGAACAAATCTGATGATCTAATCCACATCTGATCACATCACCTCAATCATAAGATTAATACGCAACATGTTACGAACCCAATTTTTTATTTCAAAACATTATTATGGTATCTTCCTTTTCATTAATTAATTAATTTATTTTAAAAACTTAGTATAAAATATTACTTGAAAAACAATTATAAAAAAATAAAAAATGAATAATTTAAAAGATTAAAAAAATTTATTTGAGAGTGTGTCTACAAATGAATATAATTTTTTATTTAGATAAAATTTATAAAAAAAATATAATACTTAAAAAATTTGTTTTGAAAAGATTAAATCTACTTTCAAATCTAAATATATATAATTAAATATAAAAGTTCATATCAAAATTATATTTTTTATATCCGACCTATTGAGCTCTTTAGCCTATATGAGCTGCTTGGTTTGAAATCTTGTACTGTAACATAATAAATATTTACATATATATTTATAATATTTTTTTTTTAATATTCATTATATTTCTAAATTGGTCTCGTTTTTATGTTATTACTCTATAGTCAAAGTGGTTAGTAGAAGTACTATTGAAAAGCATTTTCACATTTTTTGACTATTGCTTTTGTCCTCTCATTTTCTCAAGAGATCCATGCAAGGGCTGTATTGATTTTTGTTATGAATATCATAAGCATATATTGATTTTTGTTTTTATAATTTCAGATTTCATTTTCAGTTGTACTGACACAAGCTTCAAATTCCAGCTTTTGTTAGGACGACTTTCAAGTATGTCATTTTTATTTTTTTTCCCATTCTCTTTATCCTTTACTTTGTTTTCCAAGACCTTTAATGCTTCGTTCACTAATGACTATTATATATTAAAAGAATAGATTTATTCTATCATGATGTGTAAGAAAACAAGCACCAACTCACCAAATTTTAACTCTGACACAAGAGTTTAAACTTGGAAAGCTTTTCTACATCATTTTTCAACTCAAAAAGAATAAATCACATGCTCCATGATTGATTCATGAATATCATATCTGCATTTTCCTTTATGAATTTTTTTCAATTTTGAATGTTGTTTTGTTATTGATCTTTTCTTTGGGTATCTATCTCATTGTTTATGGCTTTGGTCTTGACATGAAATCCCAACATAGTCTTGCTGAATGTAGAAATGGGATAATTCATAGTACTAACCCAAAACTATACCAATATCAAATAAACTATATAAATGACTTAGTATTTCTCTTTAGGCTAGTAAATATGTTTGACAACTGATTTGTTATATTTTTCAAATAAATTATCTTTTGAACTTCAATTTCACATTTATTTGTATAAGAATCAAAACTAGATAATAATAATGCATTTCAATAAATTTCTTTGTTTAAGATACTTATTTTCTCCCTTAATGCTAGAAAATCTATTTCATCAAAATAACCGTCGATAAACCTTACTGTAAATAAATCTTTCTTTTTATTATTAAGGGAGAGGGGATTCAAACTCTACTCTTTTAGGCAGGGGATAATGCACCAACTAATAAGTCAAATGCTCAGGTGCAATAGTTCTAGATATTTAATTATTGATGGAGATTTGTATCCAACATATGTTCTTAACCTTTTTTGAAAACTCATCTTTATGCATTGTGGTGGAGCAATTAGACATATACTGCACATCCAAACATTCTTAGACAATAAATATTTAGTTTTTGACCATAAACTAAATTTATGGGAGAATTTATAATAACTTGTTAGCATGAGGTGTACAAGTGCTATTACATGCAAAATGGCATACCCCCAAGTAAAAATGAAGAGTTTAGTTTCATATACAATGACTTTACAATTAGTTGGAAGTGTTTAATAAATGATTATACTAGACTATTTTATGTATGAAAATAAACAACAAGCTATTAAATAGTTATTTTAACTAATATGCAATATTTCTTAAAAGCTTAAAATGTAATTTCAGTAACATTATCAAGATAAATAGTCTTTATTGCATAATTAGGAAATGTGCTCGCAAATAAATGATTTAAGTGAGTAATTTTGCAAATATCAAATTGCAAGTTAATAATAAGCACACATATGACCATCTAGTCGATGCATTGATTAAAATTGTTAAATATCTAAATAAACCATATGATAGATGTACGGCTCCAGAAATTTAGGGGATTTACTCATAAGTTTAGCTGGTGATGGCTTTATAATTATTTTACCTTGAAAGCAAACAACACATAATAATTTATCAAATTGAAAAATCTTTTGGTTTTGAATGGATGACTACATAAATTTTCACTAAATTTTTACATTATTATTAATCTGGGACAACCCAACCGTTCATGCATAACTTTAAAATCATTAATAAACCTCTGATTTACTGTAATATAAATTTCAATCATTTTAATATTTGTTTAACACAATCGAAATGAATATTCATTTTTTTAATAAAATAATATACATATATAGTAAAAAACTTGCATGTTAACATAAAATAGCACTATATATATAATTTAGTATTAAAACACATAATAAAATTATATTATTTAAATATAATGAGAATACATAAAAACATCTTTATGATAAAATTATACTAAAACATACCAACAAATTATTCATGAAATTTCATTCTTATATATTTTAATCATCAATCACATGATCAGTTCCTTTTTTATAGTGAACATAAAAACCAACATCTAGATATGTTATATCAACTTGGTTATGGTTAAAATAATCTTTAACAAAATTTATTTTGATATTTTTTTTTCTTTTACCTTTCAGTAATACTTTAGCAAAATTCAACATGATATTTCGACGTACAATAGGTATACCGCTAATGGCTTTTCATGCCTCATCAATAGCAGACATTTTTAATTCCTTTTATTCTATCCACTTTTGTCTTGTTTTTATATTTTTTCACTACTCATTCATTTTTTGTGAATAGAGGTATCCATCCACTTTTAGTGAGTAAACAGATAGACTGATAGACAAAGTTATCCATCCACTTATAGAATGTAACGATATTCATTCACTTTTGGTGGACAAAATTATCTATCTAATTCTGGTGATAAAGTATCAATTGCTAAATGTATTCATCCATTTATGGTGGTTAAATTTATTTTTATTATCATAATAATAATTAGTGTAACAATCACAATTGTAATTATTATATCGACATATTTCACTTTCATGACTATAATTATTAAATGATGTCGCATTGCACGGATTCATAATTTTTCGTTAGTCGCTGGTTATTTTGCTCAATCATACAAACACATGAAATCCAAAACAAAATGTATTTTCAAATTACCCAAAATATAGTATTTTCCATTTGTTACAAAATAAATATCGTACAAAGTTAATTTCATATGTTCAATTTAAAAATATCTTATGCAAATCTCATAGTATCAAAAATAGATTTACATATGTTGAGTAAAATTATAGTTGGAATTCAACAAATAAATCATATAAATATCATATATATTTTCATGCTTAACTAGATTTAATAAATCAAGAGACAAAATATGATAAATACTACATGATAGCAAAATTCACTTTAAGATTGATATTCAGGGAATGAAAACATTAAAAAAAATCAAGTCATTTACCTAATTTGTTAAAACAAAAAATCAAAAACCAATCATTAAAAAATCAAAAATCAAATTTAAACCTAAAGATGATGAAAACTAAATAATAGTAAAACTCGAGAGATTAGAGAATCATGTTGATAATGTATTACTGAAAATAATGAAAACTAAATAATATCAAAACTTGAAAGAGTAAAGAATCATGCTGATAATATATTATAAAAATATAACTTGAAAAAACAACTATAAGAGAAAGTATTTAGAGGGAGCAAAAAAATTTTATTTGAAAGTATATTTACAAATAAAGTAGGGGTCTATTTATAGACTAATAACATCTTTTGTAGATAGAATTTATTAAATAAAGATAATACTTAAGGGATTTGATTTAGATGGATAAAATTTTAATCTTAATTCAACCTAATTTACCTCTAAATCTAAATATACATAATCAAATATAAGAGTTCACATCAGATAATACTCCTATGTCTGGCTTGTTGGGTTATTTGGCCTATTTGGACTACATGGTCATCTTGGACCATGAAATAATGGACATTCATAAAAATATTCGTAAAAAAACTAAATAAGTTTTATAACTAATAAATTTTTAGATAAAATATACTAACTCACTCAACTTTTGACCATAATTAGACCTAAGTTCATTAGTTTTCAAAATGAACAATCCGCCCCAAAAGAATATTTTCGATAGATACATAAATCTTATCGTTAGTAAACCGTCAATGTTTCTATTAGTTTGATAACGTAATAATATTTTTAAAATAAATTTACCCTTCATTAATTTAAAAAATTACTACTATATAAATTATAACTTTTCATTTTTAAAATTTTTTTCTCTTTTTCAAACAAAAATTCTTTCCACTTGGCCACTGACGATCGATGGCACTCCCTTGGGAAGCCCTATCTAGGGCTCTATCAGGCTCCCCAGAGGAGTGCACGATGCTCTCCAAGGGAGCCTAAGGAGATTTGGTAGGACTTGACATTCTATGTACAAAATCCGACCACAGAGGTAGTCAATCGATGTAAAAGAACACAGCCAGTCAGTATGAAAAAAAAGAAAAAAGTGAGAAAAATGACATTTTCGATATTTCATATTTAGGTATTAGCACTATTACATGTTTGAAGTAGACTATTCATTTTAAAAATTAATAAACTCACATATAATTATCACCAAAAATTAAAAAAGTCATTGTATTTTACCTTAAATTTTTAATTATACTAGGCTTTTGATGTAAGGAATTGGGTCAAGAAACTTCTTTTGGGCCTGACTTTATTTGACCGAGGCTCACCAACAAGCCATTATCCTTTCTTCCCTTCTCTTTTACCCTTTTATTTGTCTTTTCATTCCCCTTAAAACTATACCATTTTAATACTAAAAACCTACAACAGTTTCTAATAAGCATATTAAGCATCTATTATTTTTTATTTATTTTCATATATTTAATTTTATAAATTAAGCAATTTCATTTATCTAAATTAAGCACATAAAAATGAATCAAAATAAGGAAAAAACAGATAGAAAAACATACCACTTTATAATGCACTTTTTGGGCCTAATCAAATTATCCTACCCAAGGGTGAAATTCATTTGGGCCGAATTTGGACTTGAACGGCCCACCTCTTCAAGCCTTCAAATAAAGTGGTAATGCATAAAATGTACCCAATATAAAAAATTTTCTTTGATATAATATTAAAATAAATCTCTAAATTATTTTAAAAAATTCAAATAAACTTTTATTTGAATCCTTGTTTAATCAAGTTACAAAACTCAGCTTCCATCTGCTGAAAAAATATTACCTTTTATAGTTTTATGACCTTAAAATTCCCAAAATACTTTTTTGTAAGAGAAAAAAAAAGATCATTTATTATTTTGTTCTCAATTGTTTCCTACGTAAGCATTTTTCATCTTCTTCATACCCATCATAATTCTTGTAAATTTTAAATGTCATCATAACTCTTTTAATCGTATTTGTTTAATGTTTTGTAATATCAATATAAATTATTCAATACTATTATAATTAAAAAACATTTTTGGTGCAAGCCATTCTATGCAATTAAAATATTTATTTACAAATTGAAGAAATTTTATTTAATAATATAAAAGTATCTAAAGTACTATGTTTTTGATAAAAGTCATCTGATACAATTAAAATCTTGTATATTTACAAATTAGATAAATCTTCTTAATATTAATAAAAACTAATAATTTAAAAATATAATAAAAAAATGATCATTTTCATCAATTTAAAAAGTTCTTCAATATATGTATGTTATACATCCATCGTGCCGAAGCCACTAGCTACAAAACTTCACGTGTTGATTATATATGGTGTTGAGTTGGCATACGGCTTTGGGATTTTGTCCGTTAGGTGCAACCGACGGTGAGCGGGGCCCACTTCCAAAGGGGAAGGCAAGGCGGAAGGGTGCTGCTTTAATTTCTCGCGGTCACTTTGCTCAAGCAATCTTTGAGCTGGCCACGTGGTGTACAGAAATAGAGTATATACTTGTGATGGAGGCTAAGGATATCCCATTCCCCTCTCCTCTTGTCTTCTCCCACTCCCCGCCGCTCTAGCGTTTCAGTATGTATACTTCCGCATAATATACGTATTCGTATTTTGACAAAAAGATAGGGGCATATCAGTCATTACGTTGATAACTGTTTGACTTTTATTTTCGCCTTTCATGCTACGGATCCGTGCGGCGCATAATCAATCCAGATCGATAATAAATTTAGAAGTTGGTGTGCGTTTGCCCCGTTTGGGTAATTTCCTTTTGCTTAGTACATGGAATGTGACTTTATATTAAGATACACGTAAAATTCTTAATTTCACCTCATCTGATATATATTTTTTATAATTTAAATTAGAGACTCTCCAGTTAATTAATTTTTCATCTAAAACCTTAAGATTTTTTCAATAGAGTATAATACAATTGCTTGTCATCCGTAGCTGTTAATTATACTGAATGCAACCATCTTTAATTTGTAAAGAAAATAAATTTGCAAATTTCATTTTCTGTCTCGCTATTGCCATTGAAAACTAAAATTGCTTTCTTTATCCATACGTAGGCCTATTTATTGTAAGTGAGAACAGAAAATAAAAAAAAAATATGAATATAAAATATTTTATAAATTAACCAAAAAAATGTATTAGGCTCGAAAATTTAACAATAAGTTACTGTCTTTATAGAACATAAACTCTTTTCTCAGCTAGGAGGAATAATTTAACAATAAGTTAAAAGAACAAAATAGAAAAAAAAAAAGCTCGGAATACCTAACCTAATAACTTAATTAAGTATAATTGAACTATCTAATTGGGTCATTATCAGTATGCATAATCGTGGAGTTCGCGTTCTTTCACTTATAATTAATTTTTGTCTGCATGCAAGTCCGCCTTTATGAGCAATAACTTATTTTAATCGTATTGCAAAGTAATAAATTTATCCAAATAAAAAAAAGACCTCGTTTTAAAGTAAAGTTGATTAGATTGAGATTTTACAAGTTATCACTTCAATTATATAATCTAATCTTGTTCCATTTTTTTTTTGTTTCTTTCTTTAACACTTGACAAATAACAGTAATTAAGGTGGAATGCGAGCGCTATATGGATTGGTCAATCAAACCAGAGTGAGTGGATGAGGCAGCTCCTCCACTGTGCCAGCGGTCATGTGACCCTATGATTTGAACATTGAAAGGCATGACGACGCAGAGGTGGCCTCCAATGTCTGTGGAAACTAGGACACTAAGCTGACAACAATAATCAGACTTAACCTATTCCACAACATCGAAATGATCGAGTCTTCCAATATTTAATTCAATTAAAATTATATATGTCACCCTTTTAAGATAATTGAGTTTGAATCTCTCCATTTAATTATATTAAAAAATAGAGTTTATTC